CAAGCAAAGACTAGGAATGGGAATGGGAACAGATAGGGGGCAATTGATAATCGAGAATTCTCATTTTGAAACGTGCAATTTAAAGATAGGAGCGTGATGCGTTGTTTTCGTTGTCGACGATCGTTTAGAGTTGATTATTAATGAGGGCAGCGATGATGACCTTGAAAAGCTTCATACGAACTTCATCAGTGATAAACTGTTTAACTGATATTGTCAACATTCAAAAGTACTCACGGAATGCATTGCATTCGATTGCAACGATGATTAGAAGTTGAAATGTTGAGTAGTGACGACGTTGAGAGCAATTTTGAGTAATGACGATAGAGTGAGAAAAACTTTGGAGAATAATCTAATTTTAGTATATAAGGTGACGGGTTCTTATTGAAAACCACACAATTATCATTAATGTTCTCACAGCAAATGGTTAATGCGGTCAAGAACAGTGACTGATGGTTGCTTGTCGACTAATCAGTTGGTGACATATTGCTGAAATTGAGCCTTATGGCTCAAATATGAGTGGCAATTCCGCTGATTATGTGCACTCAATCGAAGAAAATCTTGGCAATCAAAGAAAGTAGGCGTTTTTTCCGTCGTTTTATGCATTCACCATGTTTTCCCATACGTAATTGTAACGTCTAATGCACTCTGAACGATCAAAATTGCGAAGAATTTTTGAAATAGGATAAACGGCAAAAGAAGATAAATGAATGCAGATGACCTTTTTTGTTGGCGACAGCTGAAGAACTATGCATGTCGGTGGTGAGATAAAATAACATTGCATTGTTGAAACCGGTTATGAGGCAAAAAAAGACTCAGAGTAAATTCGATAAGATTTTTATTAATACTAATATTCGTTCGATTGCTGCGCAAACCAATTAGTAGTGAACAAGTTTAATAAAATGTTTACCTTACTTTTGCTCAAGAATTGCTCTCGAAAACCTTCAGAACAATCTGTTATTCTGATTTATTCCTATTCGATCAATCTTAAATTTCCATTGTATTATATTATTTGAAAGTGTATATCATTTTTCACATTCACGAACTTGTACAAACCCACAAAATCGTTTGATCAAAAACTCATGTGAACTGATCAAGTATGAAGTGATCAAATTTGAATCAGCTGATCAGAACTGAATGTTTCCAGACCTATTTCAGTCGCAAAAAGCCACTCAGCTCCGGAATATTCATTTCAAAATCGAAAAATTCTCATTGTCAGCTTCATTTGTATTGCGATAAGTTATTTTCTGGGTGTCATTATTCAATGCATTGAACTAAGAATAACTCTGAAATAATTTACGCTATTGTCTTGTGGGTTGCATAAACGTGTTTGATATTTGTATAACGAGTTTTTTGTTTGATGGCAAAGTAAGGAATTGAAACGACGGTGTATCAACAGGTGTATTGTTATTATTGCTGTTGTGAGTGGAGTGTAGTGTGAGTTTGAGGAACACACTTCAGCGCTCAAGCATTCATTCATTCTCATAGCGATTAATTGCACTCTTTGCATTGAATAACGCGGTGATGCTGACGACTGATTGCACTCAGCGAAACATTCATGTAAATACAGTTCATTTATTCTTAAGTATCACTTTCGAAATGTCGCTCCTCAAATGACACCTATTTTGCTGATTGAATGATCAGAAATCTTAAAACGGTGTGTAAATTTTTATTGATTCTCTCCAAAAAGTCCGAACGAATCACATACATTATTCCCCTTTCCGAATGGCCGACTTAACGCTTCGCTATGACAACGATTCAACAAAGTTTTTTCTTTCTTTCCTTGAAGATTGGTTTCCCGTTGCCAGGTTGCTGTCAATGGATCTGATCAATCGGTATTGATGAGACGCACTGAAGAACGATTAGAAAAGGAAATATCACAGAAAATATCACAAATTTCTTCCTGTCTACTTGCGTTACTTTACTTGATTATTGTCTTCTTTAGCTATAGACATGAATGGTTTTACTACTGCTTACTATTTAGACAGCAAGTGTTCGTAATTTTTTTCGCGCAACTTAATTCAACTTATTCGTTTCAGTCATGACTGTTTTTTTTGAAAATCAATGATAACGAGTATCACTTAACGTTACCTTCGTAATTATAGTAATTGTCATAATTGTTCTCAACTCTAACATTTATATTTTCGACGCTATGGTTATCATTATCAGGATTCTAGAAGGCACTAAGATTTGATTTGTGCTGTGGAATGAGCAGATGCTTGAATGAGTAGAATGTGTCGCTGACAATTATCCGAAGTGATAGGACTTGAATGTGTGATATGCTGATGTTTCACTGCATCATTTGAATAGATACGACTGCTTCGGTATTATATCGCTGAAAAAAATATGAATTACTCAGCAGTCGCTTTGGAAACATAGTTGCAATACCTTTGATTGTTGTGAAAGTGAGAAGCGTGGAACCTTATTGCGCCGTTCTGATCTAGTCTTTTGATTCAGACTAATGAGTCCTACTCAGAATATTCCAGAGGCGTTTGCATGATGTGGAAGAAAGACTTTGCTAAGATTTTTCGACTTAAACTAAGATTTTTTCAAGCTCACCTAGTTGTATACGACAATGTGAGTATCAATAAGTGTTATTATCTGGATTATCTGGATTGGCCATGATATCAAACGTTTGTAACGTTGCTGGCCACAATGCTCGTGTTTCCGTTCGCACTGTTTTGGCCTTGATTGACGTCACCTGGTTGGCCAGGCAAGCAGGCCAACCGAACACAACCGAGCAATTAATTAGTTGCCGTGAATACTTTGCATAATTAAACGTAGTCAAATACAAATCCAATGAATAATCATAAGTGTTAAGTGTTATTCAAGTGTTATATTCATGAGTGTTATATCCAACGTATTATAGTGTCTCTTTCACGAAAATAGTTCGTAAACGCGAGAAAACGCGCCTCTTCTCAGTTCATATAAGAATTTATTTGCAACGATAATATCTATAAATTCAGAGATCCGCTAACAATCCGAATGAACTGTACGGCACTTGCACAGTAACATGTCAACGCTACAAAAATGAACACATGATAATATTGGACCACAACTGATTCAAATTCTTGCAAATGATTCGTACTGTATTGGAACTGTATCGGTACTGTAGAATAGTTGTAAAACAAACACTATAAAAAACAAGCTTCATCAGCGATGCATGCCAATCTAGTGATTGGTACTGTGCGACGACATTGGACCTACTTGATATCGTTACTTCTAATTGTCGTCATTTATCATGTTTACCGATGGGGTACCGCACAGTTACAAATACCAACCATTATCGTTATCACACCCACACATAAGCGACCCGAACGACTCGCCGATATGACCAGGTGAGACGCTTTCCGCTCTGACATATGCGACCTTCGAAGAGTCTAATCGTAAAACTTCAGCCAGTCTTAAGGATTCAGGAAGTAAGGAATGCCAATTTAAAGCTAGCGGTTGAAATCCTCAAAAGATCCCAATTAACACACTCCGTGAATGCTTGTTTTCTATCCTTTGCTGTTCAAATCTTATATCCGATAAGCACCCAGTTCCTTGCCACTTATCTAACTAATCGTCAGCGTGTTCGAATAGATTCTCACAAACAATATCGCACGTTAGCAATTTGCATTGGATTGTAATCGAAGATTCGAATCACACGGTCGACGCTGTTGAGAGGATATTGCAACGTAGTGGTCTGCCGTATGTTTATTTCTTTACGACCACTCAGCCGGGATTTCCAAGTGAGAATTTGCTTCAATTATTTTCCAGTTTCATTCATCATCAAGTGAGAGCACAAATAAGCACCAAAGACTCGAAAAATGGTCTTATGTGGAGGTAATCAGAAATAGTATAACGATTGAAAAATCTCGCAATCAGGGAAGAATCAATAGACGATGGAGCAGATGAAACTGTGACTATATGCTTTTAAAAGAACACCATTCAGAATTCAGATAGGGGTCGTATGTGGGAAAGGGAAATTCTATAATATTAGGTGGGAAGAGGGGTAATTACCAGTTTAATTTCTCATCCATATCGCTCGCTTCATTTTAGAGCGTGGTTGGACACATCGCAATCTTGGTCTATCCTACATTCGTGAGAAATATCGCAATTACAAGCGACCGGCGGTGTTGTATTTTGCTGACGACGATAACAGTTACGATATTAGATTGTTTGATAAATACATTCGAAAGGTCAAAACAATTGGAGTCTGGGCTGTTGGTAAGTGATTTTTTGATACTCACCACATACCTGAAACTGCGACTGCGAATCATCATCAGGTTTCCTCAAAGGAAAATCAGTAGTAATTTGAACCAACAATGCCAACTGAACGCAGTTGAAGTAAGTCTAGCGCGTTGAAATTCAATCAGGAATCATGAATGCATGGAAATTTTGCTCACGAATACGCTTTGAAGAATTTCTTTGAAATTTATGGATGGATCTTCGAAGAATATTTACAAATTATATCCCGCATGTTCTTTGAAGAAATCCAAGTTCAGAAGTACCTTATGGATGGATGAAAAGTGTGAAATCGCACGATATCTGGAATATGCTGCTGAATTTTAGAAATATGATATAATCATCCCATAAGGATTGTGAAAATATCAAAAAACGGCGAATTGCAGGTCTATCCGGTGCAGCCGCAGTAGAAGCACCGCATGTTGTGAACGGTACAATCGTGAGCTGGGATGTCGTTTATGCGCCAAACAGGAAGTTTGCGACCGATATGGCTGGTTTCGCGGTGAATTTGGAGTTAATCCTCAACTCAAAGTAGGTTCATCATCGCACCATTTCTAAACCACATGAATTCCAAACATTGCAATGTTCCCAACTAAACATTTAGCCGATGTCCACCTGCAAATATCGTTGTTGATAACCGTAGACTAATTTCAGTGCAACATTCCATAAAGGATGTGCCAAAACCGTTCCTGAATCATGCTTCTTGGAACAGTTCAAAATTCCAAAAGAGAGGATGCAGCCGTTCGGATTTGACGAGAATCCAAAAGAAATCCTGGTCTGGCATACAAAAACGCGAAATATTGGTACGAAAGGTGGATCGCATGGATATGTGGTCGAAGGAAATTGATGATTGTAACGTCTGGAAGCTACTAGACTCGATTGATAGAAACAGATATAGAATGCGTCTGAATCGAATTCACACGGTTGATCATCAACTCAGGAAATTACCAGTAATTGCATTGTTTGGTGTTTTACCATAATAGATCTCATGTTCTGCCGCAGTCAGTGGCAGACTCCATATAGTTCAATATGGATGTGTGTGTTCGCGAAATTCCCAACGAAATTGTTCAAGCAAAAGGATTTTCGATGCACTTTCTCGTCAGAAGCCACTAGCGAGAGAATTTGATGCAGTCCATCGGTGATGCCATCGAATCCCACCACTGAGCCTGCTTATTGTTCGATGACAATAGTTCAGTCGTGCTGTGAAGTCACTGAAACAGAAAACGATCTTCTTCGTGAATTTCGTTTTATTGTCATCAATTAATCTGCACTTTCTATGTTTTTTACCTGGATTACCTGGATTGGCCAGGCTATCAAACGTTTATAACGTTGCTGGCCACAATGCTCGCGTTTCCGTGTGCATTGTTTTAGCCTTAGATTATGGAATAACAGACTTTTCAACGAATTTTGCATTAACCATTATTTTGCTCACTCAGAAAGAGATGTTTATTTGTGATAATAGATCTCAAAAATGATCTCTTGCATCGAAAAAAATAAACGAAAAAATCGAATATCTTGACCCCGTTGCAATCCAAAGAGATGATTGCAAAAAGATTCACTCATAATCGAGACTGGCGTAATTAATCCTTGCGCAAAGTTTTTCTATCAGATTTCTCAGCTCATGAACTTTATTGTTCCATAAAATCATCATTTGTTGTCATTCGATTACGGTGATATCGATAGTATCTAGGCAGCTGTTCGTTGTTGGTTACTTAAAATCAGTGATTTTGAATAAGTTGTAATTATTCCGTTCGATTCTTCTGTATTCGCTTTTCACTGCTCACCCATCTTTGCCATCAATTTCTGCAAAATTTTTTGCAAACTAAAACAACGATCGTTACCTGTCCTCACGGAGATAGACGGGAAAAGATGAACATTTTAATTTGGGTGTTTGATCGGAATATTGGGATTATCACTGAAAGTGGTTTTATTGATGAATGTTGGCGAAGATTATCCGTTATTTGTTGTACTATACGAGTGTCGATTTACTGTGAACAATTTTATGCGCCTTGTGATTTTATCCGCCTTGTAAAGCCAGACATAATTTGAATGTAGTATCAACGTGATAAATTTGTTAAATAGTCGAAATGAAAAATGTTGGTTTGTGCAAATTCTCAAAAAAGCAA